TGGCGCAATATGGTTCATGGGGTCACGAAGAGTCGGACACGACTTAACGACTAAACAACAACAACAAAAGCACACTAATATTTAGTGTAGATTTTAGTGTGTTTTCATGTGGATACAGCCATGGTTTGTTCTTGCCTGTTGCAAAAAAACCTCCACAAAATTTCTGGTCTTTGCAATAACAGTAGACTTCCATGAATTTTAAATCCTTCTTTTACAGCTTAGTGAGATTATGACTGCTCAGCACGCTTTGCTCTGGTCACATGTATATACACATCTCTGAACAAAATAATCTTGGGAACTGTAAATAGGAGAAAGAGAGAGAGAGAGAGAGAGGAGAGAATGATCTTCAAAATGACCTGTTTAAATTTTCATAAAGCACTCTTAGCGGCATGAAAAAACAAACTTCAATTTGTATTGACTCCTCCTTACAAGCTGAGCTTCATTTAACACTTGGTGTTAAATATCTGTTGCCAGACTTAATAACATTTATACCAAAGTGATACAAAGGCCCTTCATTTGCATATTCAGAGAGGCTGAGATGAGATTTTGCCACTGAGTTTGTACGGAAGAGCACTGATGGTTCCACTATCTATCTAATCCAGCATTCTGTGTCACATCATGGCCAATCAGATGCATTCAGGAACATAACTCATAAAATCTTCCTACCTGCTGTTCCCTGTTATTTAAGATATGTTGGTTGTGATTCTACAGATACTAAACAGTAATTAAGTTGTGATGTCTGAAGAATGAACAGACATTTGAGACCCAGATCCTCCATTAATTTGTCCAGTCCTCTTTAGAGATATCTAAATTGGTGACTACCTGGTGCAGGGAATTCCGAAGTTTAATTATTAGCTGTGTAAAGAAGCACTTTTTAAAATTGGTGTCAAATAAAATCTAATAAAACTAAAATACATTTTGTTCTCATCGATGGATTTCAAAGCCATTACTGAAAATGAGGTGCTCAATACTAGACTGAACTACAGGGAGGATTTCATTCTTCCTGAACATCAATCAATCAAATATTTATTACAATCATAGACTAGCATAACCTGAACATCTATTACCCCACAAAATGATTTATGTCATTTGTGTAATTACATATGTGTGTGATTATGTGTAGGTGTGTGAAATGCAATGAACTTGCCTGAAATTTCAGTGAAGATGGTTGGATGAAAATTTCATCCATTGTATCCAAGGTTTGCTAAATCAAAACTTCACTGTACAGTATTACAGAATGCAAGTGTAACACTATATTTAGAATGTTCACACACTATTACTTACTTAAAAAAAAAAAAAGCTAATAATCAGTTAGACCCAGGTAGCCATTTTCTCTTGACCTTCCAGTTTTTCTGGCTCTGATAATTAGCCTGCTGAAGGCTAATAAAATATAAATAAATATAACTGGTTATATCATGTCACTTTCCCTTTCATGTGTTAGTTTGACAGCTAGTCTGGTGCAGTGGTTGGACTGGGATCAGGAGACCTAGGTTCAAGCTGTCATCTGACCCTGAAATTCCAAGTGTGATTATCCACAGTCACTATCTGTAATCCAACCTAACTCACAAGGTTGCAGCTATAAGCATAAAATCAGGGTAGATTCTCTCAGCTAAGACTAAACATGACTAAACATGTAGTTGGTTAAAAAAAATAAAATATGCTGATGATTCCAGCAGATTGTTTTGATATGAGGATACAAAACTTCAGAAAACTATGCCTTGTGCTTCCACCAATTACTTTGCTGCAACAGAACAGTTGAACTCATATTTGGGCAAATAAGCCAGTTGTGTCTTTTCTTCAACTAACCAGCTTGAAGAAATGTAACACAACCCATGTGGGTGGATGACTGTGAAGCCATATTCAGAGACATATGTGAGGCTCAAGCTTTCCTGGGAGAGAATTTGCATTTAACTTTTCATATCACAACTCATCTGCTGGGTGGTATCAACAGCTGCAGAGAGCAAATAAGGCCACAGGTCTACTCGGGGACAAGGGACAGTTGCCACAAAGGAACTCAGAAAGGCAAGTGTCTGGATAAATGAGCTTTCCTCCCCTCCCATCCCCATGCCCTTTTCTAAATGTTGTCTGCTAGCAAAATAACAGAAGTGCAAAAAGGAAGCCCACTTTGTAATGAAACAAAGGATGCATGGAATTAGAAAGTGATAACATGATTTATTACAGGGAAATCAAAGCAGAACTAAAGTACAGAGGCATAAATATCTGCTCAGTGCTGTGAAAAGGTGATCAATGAGCATTCTATACATTTAAGCCATGCCATTAGGTAGAAATGAACCTTACTTTTTCAAAATCAGAGTAAGCGGTTTTTAAGTAAACAAAGAATGAGTAAAATATGGGAAAGAAAGCAAAGTGCAAAAGATCTTATTCAGATAAGTATTATTTACCAGCTTCACATCATCTATGCACAGTCCTGCCCACCTTTTCTTAGTGTATTCCTAATTTTATTCTCTTTAATATATTTTGCTTTTGTACATATTATTCCCTGATGAATTTTGTGTGTGCTTTTCCTTAAAGTACACAATTTTCTGTTCATTTTAATTTAGGAAAACATGGTTTCAGTGTATAGCCCTATGCTAGTTTTTGTATAGGTTCAGGAAGTGCAGATTGAATAAGTAAGCAAACAAATGTTTCCACTATTCCTGTAGATAAGTGCCACTCCCTACATAACGTGAGAGCAGCAGATAAGGTCAGTTTCCAGCAGTATTTGCAAAGGTTAAATTCCCAAAACATTCCAACAAGATCCCAATAGACTGTATGAGTTATCAGAATAGTATATCCAGTCCCCCTTCTCATAAGTTCTCAGAGCATAGAAATACAGATGTTATATCATGCCATTGCCGCCCCCCCCTCCCTTTTCCTGGAAAACCTCTTGGAAATCACATAAATCACACAGTGAATCTAATTCCCTAGGAAAATAGAATGTATGGTAATGATGTGACATGATATGAAAGTTCTCTCATTCATACATGGAAGTCACAGAGTCAGATTGTAGTCTTTTAAGCAAATGTTACGTGACTTGCTCCTCTCCCTTAACAGGCTTACTGTTTGTGAAGCCCCAGCACCCTGGTCAATGTCATGAGGCTGAAAACACTGTTTGCAGCAAGTGCCTCCTTTTTATAATGAAGCTGGCATTTGTATGAGCTTAAACACTGGTGGGCAGGTCTAGGTGGCTTGAGAAGAGATGGCAGAGACACAGGATGCCCGCAGAGAATGTCCCTGGCTTACCAAAATTCTGGCAGAAATAGAGTTAAAAAATAACATTAAAGGCTGATTTTTACAGGCAAAATTTGCTGGTAAAATAATAATAATTGTCTTGTGATGGCCTTTCTGTATCACTTTTTTCAGTAAACAAAGGAAAGAAGCTAGATAATCTGACCAACTTGTATCAGCTTCTTTAATACACCGAACCAAATACTTAACCTGCATCTTTTGCAATATGACTTTTGACTTAGGTTTCACTTCATTTATCACGGGATTGGCATTGCGCTAGGATATATCATTCCCCCCTCTTCTTTCAATACCAGTTAGCCAAGGCAACCCAGGATTATGGGTGTCCACGGCAAGGGTGGCTTTCATCAAATCACAAAAGCAGCATTGCATCACCCGGCCACAAGTTCCTCCTCTTTGGGACGCCTGTGCAACATCGCAGCACAGGTACAAAAGCCGCAAGCCTGGCATCACAACAGCGCAGTGCTGCTTTTGTAAAACTAAGTCGTTTTACACACACACACACACACACACAGAGACAATGCAGAAACTGTCACCCAGTGACCCTATATCAGAATCTCTCATGAGTTTGCCCTCCCTCTGCCCTTGAAAGTCTTATTTACAGCAAGAGCTCCCTAAATTAGCTAAGGGTAGTATTAAGCTGATCAGAGGACTAGTCTGTCATATTTTAGCCAAAGTAGAAAGACTTGCTGACTTTTTACTTCTCAGGTGGACCCTAACAGTCCCTGACCTTCCATATGGCGTTAACTCCCTTGTAGTAATGCTGGCCATGGAAGGTATCATAGAAGGAGGTGAGGTGACTGGCGACTACCCTGCAGATATCACTGCAGGATGTCTGTGTGCCAAGAGGAAGAATTGTTCGAAAGCTCAAGCACATTGTGATAAAAGGGCAGCTGAAAGGAGAGGCTCCGTTTAGCTTGGCAGAGGCCTGCGGGATGCTCTCCAGCATTGAAACTCGGGCAGGACCTGTGCCAAGCACTGTCCTGAGCTTCTGTAAGTAGCCTGATGAACACTGTTCATCTTCTCACTCATTCCTCTGTTCATCCTGATGAAACCGCAGACATTGGCTAAGGACAAGAGCCACAGAAATATTCAGCAAATAACATCTTTGCTGATTTGCATCCCTCTATTTAAGCAAGAAGGCAAGGACAGGATACACTCTGTATGTATATATGTATGCACGTGCTACACGCATACACATCCAGAGAGACATACTGTTCTTACTTTTCTGATGGAATGTGAAAGAAACATCTAAATAATCTGTATTTCCAGTGCTCCAGTCGTCATGTCCTACTGCTATTGTTAAATCTGATCATTTCAACAAAACCCTTTGTTTAGAGAAATCATTAGCAAGGTCCTGCCTATCATTAATCATTATGCTAAAGAATATCCTCATTCTTTCTTTTCCCTCTCAGTCCAGGAAGGGGATGGAAAAAGGGGAAAAAAAAATATATTCTTTCTGTTTGACAACTTATTAATGAATAATTATTCTGTCTGACAACTCCTGGCTCTCTTCCTTTCTCCCCTTTTAGTGTTCCTTCATCCAAAAGAAACTAAGGCAGCTTCCATCACAAGCAACACAATGAGAGCAGGTAACCACTTTCCTTTTTCCCTTCCAAACTGAGGACTTCTCTGTATGTCCTTTCTTAAGTTTTCTCCATGAATTCAACTTCTGCCCCCACCCCCACCATTCCTTACTTTTTCTATTGGCAAAAAGTTTGCTGTATCTACTGGTCTTCCTACTTTTTCTACAGTCAATATATCATTGTAGCATTAACTTTTATGCTGCTGAAGATCATGTGAAGTACTTGAGATGGTCACAATCTGTGTGTTAACCTGCAACTTGTTAATTGTAACTACTGAATATCAAGCTCTAATTTAATTGCCTGTATGCCATTAGCCTCAGATAGTTTTAATAAACTGCATTAATTTGTAATTAACTACAGTTTCAGGGTTTTTTTTAGTTCTGGAACACTTACAACTGTTTCCTAAATTTTGGTGTTCAATCCTGACATAATAGACTCCATGGGAAACTTGGAGGGGGGGTGGGCAGGGGCAGGAAGATCCTTTCTAAAGATAAATTGGCAATATAAAGTTCTGTTTGCAAAACAATTGCATTGGCCTTATTAGAAAAGGTTGTCTGAATTGCCAAATAGTTGCATGTCTTCAAATATTTTAATTCTTACATCGGTAACAGGCTGGCATGAATCCCCAAAGCCCAGCACACAGGGGCTTATTGGATCAAAGCAATATAGCATTCTATTACTAAATCCAATTGAGTCCTGCTACAGGAAGCATTCAAAGTAACTGCCTATCCAATATAATAACTGCCTATCCAATACAGGCCAATATCCAATAAAAGAAGGAATAAAAGCAGGATGATACAGACTGGGGTTGGATTTTAAAGCATCAAATCCCTTATTTTTACTAGTCTTTTTTTTTTTTTTATGAAGTCATCTAAAGCCCATCAGGAATAGGTAGGGAAGGCAAGTGTTAGTAGATATGTCAATATCTTTGGGAGCGGAACTAACTGTGAGAAAAATGCAGAATTCCTAACCACCCGACTGCCAAGGGAAAGCTAGGCAGATAGGGAGAAGTTTTTAAAGAATATCTAGGTGGAGAGTATTAATTATTTTCCCCAGCTTAGGTTCCAAGAAAAGAAAATGGGGAAGGAAAAATGGATTTAGGGGAGATTTTCAGGAGAAAAAGCTGGTATAGGAAGGATTGCATACATAATCAGTGACCACCATCCTTGTCTTACAAATGTCCTCTACCCAGCATTTCAGATATCTGAGCAAAAGCAGAAAATTTAACCATTACTGCTCCTACCCTCTCACACAATCAAATTTCTAATCATTGCTTTTCAGCCATCTGTAATAAATCAGAAGCGATATTAAAATAATTGCAGAAATGGAGCATGTGGCTGCCCTTGACATTTTATTTTATCATCACATTTGCTTAATTGTTATAGAGTTCTCATTTTTTCCATAATCCAGGGTAAGCAACAACTAACTCATAACTCATTTTTTTTTAAAAAAGTGATCTTCTGACAGCCATTAAAAATATTAGGAAAATGCAACTGTTTATGGAAAGTTGCCTTTTCATCATGAGCTCAAGGCTATTTCATATGATGAATTACTTAATCTGGAGTGGGCAAGGGGGTGTGCATCTTCTATGCATAGTAGATCATGGTGTGCAGCGGTTTATTTTACTGCATTTTTGCATTTATATCCAGCCTTTTGTCTCACAATCCCATAAGGTCAGTTGGGTGACAGAGTGATTGGCTCAAAGTCATCATCATATTCTGTGGTTGAGTGGAGATTAAACCTGGGTTTCCCCAGTCCAAGCCAAACAACTCTATCAATACAGTGCACTATGTGATTCTAGATATATGTGATAAGTCCTTCAGTGTCAATTATCTACTCAAAATGTGTACACAAAGAATTAAAATAAATATGTGTATGCTTTTCACACATAATAAATGCATGTATGGTGTTTTTCTCTTATTCTCCTGTATAACTGGTTGAATAATGATGTGCAAAATAGCCTTCAGGGGAGTAGTGAGCATATTTTAGAGACAAGGTCAGAAGGGTAGGAGTATGAGTATGAGTCTTGATGCTATAAATCATGGAATATTTATGGACTTTTTGGGAGCCCTCTCACTCTTCCAAGTGTCTAAGCTCAGTCTTATCAATGGTACATTGTGAGCTTTCTTTTTCTCACTGTCTAGACAAAGTTTTGTGTTTCTGAGGACAGTCTTAACCTTCGACCAAAGCAAATTAAAGAGTGAAAAAGAAAGCAGAAGGATTCAAGACAGTCCCATTCTGTCAGTTCACAATATGAAATACACGCCACAAATTGAAAAGATGATAAGAGGACAAGGAACACAAGAACACTCAGGCATCATGTCTTCAACAGTAATTCTCATAATGACTGGCTTCACTGGAAACATTTTAGAGAAGAGAAGGCAAATCATACAGCTGGCTATCAACGAGTCAGAACCAATTGTGTTTACTTTTCAATTCTCATTCTTCTGCATCCTGATGGAGTAGTTGCGATTAGCTATCATTTTAGGGAAAAGAGCCCAAATCAGCTAACCTATAGCAAGTAACAGGTGGCATTCCAGCTGTTGCTGAATTAAAATTCCCAGAACCCCTAGGAAACATGGCCAAAGGTGAAGGATGCTGGGAATTATAGTTCAGCAACAGTTGCCTACTTCTGAGCTAAATCGTAGTAAAACTGATAGATTTACCAAACCCCTGACCTCTCCTACTGCAGCTGGGTGGAATTCTCAGATTGTAAAAATTAATGCCTTTGGCCCTTTTCTTCCTTCTTCCAGCAGACAACATATGAGTAAGCAAACAGAGCTGCTTTAAAAACAGCTCCTGTTGAGGAGTTGTGTATTCTGATACCACCGCCGATAATGAAAATAATCTCATCCCTCTGGTCACGCATTTATTGCTCACTACAGCATGACTATTTTTTCCTTTGTGATCACAGGATGCTGGTGGCGTTTTTGAGTGCGAGTAGGCAAAACTGACACACAAGGACACACACTGAGCTGATTTACAAGCCGTAGGAGACAAGGAAAAAAAAAATACACTGTCTCTGATTCAAAGCAATAGAGCCTACTTTACCCCAAGGAACTTCTTTGTTGTCGTCATCTTCTTCTTCTTCTTCTTTTTTAAGCTATCCTACTCTCTCCTGGACTCTCTCTCTTCAAACAGCAATAACTGTAGGAGGAAAGAAAAACACATCACAGAGGAGGATACCATTTATATCAAGAGATATTTTTTTCTTTTTCTTTTTGAGACAAAAACAGAAGGAAAGCCAAAATGAAATATGACAGACTAACATTACTTTGGCATTTGATCTTCATTTGCCAGAGCCAGAGCCCAGCTCAAATTGTTCTCATTAAATAATGCCTCCTTCAATCTCTTTCAGTACCAGATGCCCACACTACCATGTGGGTGACATTAGCCTTAGGTGAGAAAGAGCAGACTAAGAAGACAAAAATATCAAATTCTTCAAGACATAACAATTTATGTGTTCCAGTAGCCTGTTTCCATTAATGATTAGCTAATTTTAAGCCTTAATGTTAATTGTTAACATTTCTTGCCTTTGGGCTAATGTGAAGTAATTAAACCTACAACTTTCTCAGCTAGCTTCAGTTGGTGGTTTAGCATGGAAGAGAAACTCAGATTCTGTTCTCAGTGTTCAGACAGATCTGGATGGTAGATATCAGTTATCCATAATATGGAAGCACTATCAGGATCACAGCAACAATTATTTCATTGTTTCATACCCACACAAATACAGCAGCTTTGAATACTCCATTCAGAGATGTTGATGGAACAAGAAACTTGCTTCAGGATGAGTCTGGAGATAGAACTGGCCCATTTGTGCTTTGCAGTGAAATATTCAAACTGATGGGGTCTTAAGGTGATGTGATACCTTTTATAGAATTAGTGATTGTGAGAATGAATATTATTAATAAATAGAAGGTTCAAGAGACTTGGGCTGGATTAGGATCTTAATAGGAAGGCACAAGAGGCTTTAAGTTTTACAGTCTTCCATACTCTGGTGCAGCCTTAATTCAGATTTGGACCTCCAATGGACCAGCTATTAAATCAGAAGAAAGATTTCAAGAGTGCCAAGGGAGTGTCTGTGTGCGATGGCAAAACAGGGGGGTTATTATGTTGCTGGCAGGGCACATTAACCCGTGGGCAACTTGACATGGTTTTTTAAAATGTCATCCCGAAACATTTCCAGTGTTACCAAAAAGCAACGTCATCAGTGCCAGAATACATATAATATCCAAAACACCTCTTGATCTTTTAGAGTGTGTTAGGCTTAAGTGCAGGCAGCCTAGCTTAACCAGTTTGTTTCAAGGAACAGGGCCAAAAACATTGTGTCTTTATGAAAAGTGTGTGTGTAAGTCTTTGTGTGTCTGTTTCATTTAATTCTGCTTATATGATGATGAAATATATGCTTACTGCAGGCTCTCATCTTCCAAGAACAAGGCTTTTAACTGTCACTTGCAAATTGCAAAATATGCTTCAGTCCCTTTATTTGAATAAAAGATAGCATGAATCCCAATTTAAAACAGCAAATCCTTTCTTTCCAGCTATCTGTATTATATAACTTGTGTTTTCCAAGATTTTCATGCAGATGAAACTGTTTAGGATTCTTTCCCCTCTTTTAAAGCCAGGAGTGATTGATAGCATCTATTACATAAAATCTTCTATTATGGTATTTCTTAATACAAAATGTGTGGATATTTCTCAATACCAGCTTGGACTTATTTCTTTCAAAGCAAATTTCTGGGCTTGTAAATACATGGCATTGGTGTAGACATCAAGGGAGGGAGGGAGGAAGGAAGGAAGGAAGG